GGGCGCTGGGGGCGGGCTGCCGTCCCCCGGGGAGCAGGAGCTGAGCCGGCGCCTGCAGCGCCTGTACCCCGCGGTCAACCAGCACGAGACGCCGCTGCCGCGCTCCTGGAGCCCCAAGGACAAGTACAACTACATCGGCCTCTCCCAGGGCAACCTCCGCGTCCACTACAAAGGTATTGGCCCGTATGGCCGCGGGGGGTAAAAGGCCGGATCGTATTCGCGGCAGCCATGCTGCCCTGCCCCTGCTCCATCATGTCGCTTTCCTTGCCTGGGTGCTCTGGTTTCGGCCTTGGCCCCAGCGGAGTGTCCAGGGTGGTGGGGCTGACCAGGCCGAGGGTTGATTGCTATGCTCTGCTCTGCCATGGGACATCCGATGTTAAGAGAATTGCAACAGGTATCCAAACCCAGTGCTGGATGGACCTTCCACTCCAGGGCCTCCCAGCCTGCCTTGAGTTGGTTCTAACTCCACCTGGGCCCTTCACCATTGCTTAGTTTGGGGAGTGTCTGAAGAAAGGAGTAGTCCCATCCCCACCTTTAGCCAGAAGCCCATGGGCTTGCCCACCTGCCAGACTGGACCTGGGATCCTTTGCTTAAGCCGAGATGTCTTCCAGGTCTTCTTTATCCCTCCCCTGGTCTCCCAGGCAGTCTGCATGAGTTCTGGGGAGACTGCCAGCAACACTTGAGTATCTCTCACATGCATCCACATTGCTGTACCCTTGTGTTTGTATGAGGACACTGGCTTAGGCAGGGCAGCTCTTCTCAGGGGGAGGACAGCCAAAGGTGGGAATCTTATATGTTTACTCAGTTGGACTATGTGAGGGCTTCCTCTGGCCATGGAGGGGTTGAAGCTGCCGCAAAGCAGAGAGGTTTGAGTTTTCATTTGTATTTGCTTCTGCCGAAGTTTCTTTCTTACCTTCTCCTGTTAGGTCATGGAAAAAATCACAAAGATGCAGCCTCAGTGCGGGCCACCCACCCCATACCTGCTGCCTGTGGCATTTATTACTTTGAAGTGAAGATTGTCAGCAAAGGAAGAGATGGGTAAGTCCCTCATTATGACTCTCTTTCCCCCTGTTCCTTGTGATTTGAGTTTGAGATCTCCTGACTAATACTTGTGCCTAATGTGAGCTGCTGAGCCATGGGGATCTGTGTCGCCTCTCTTCCCTGACTATGGTCATGGCTTGGTCTAAGTAGTAGGCCTTGGTGATGAGTTACGCATTGGAAAAAAAGCAGGGGAATATTTTTTCTTCCTTCCTTCCTTCTTTTCTTTTTTCTTCTCTTTCCTTTTCTTTCTTTCTTTTCTTTTTCTTTTTTTTTAATTTGACTAGAGAGGAACAGAGTGAGAGAGAGAGAGAGAAGGAAAGTGAGAAACCAAGCCACCAGGTCTGGGACTGGGACTGGAACTGCAGTTGGCCATGTGGGAGTCCAGTACCCTTAACAAATTGCTGCCCCCCACTCCCCATTTTTTTTTTTTTTTTGAGAGGTTTTTGCTATAGGGCTCATGTGCCACCAGCAAGCAGGCTCATGTGCCACCAGAAAGACAGAGAGAGACAGAAAGACAGAAAGTGAGCAATCCCCCCAGGGGGGATGGCCATGCCGCAATCCCTTCTCCTCCATTCTTCTCTTGGGATCCTGGGCATGCACGCACACATGCCCAGTGTGAGTTTATGTCATTGGGTCTGGGACTCGAACCATGGTCGACTATATGGGAGACCAGCGACATAGTCATTATGCCAACTGCTGGTCCCAGCTCCCCACTTTTTTTTTAAAGTGATGTAATTAGGTACCTGGAAGATCAGGGAAATAAGTAATAAATTTACGTTAGCAATTTATCAAGAATGTGGTTTCCCCCATTCTGCATGTGGCGTTGATAATTTCCTTCCTTTCACAGTCTTGCTGCATTCTAGGTTTCTTTTTATGACAGTCATGTGGAGGCCCCAGAAGGCATCAAAGGGATAGTAGAGTCTTTGCAGCATTCATCAAAGCTGTGGTGGCCACTGGCCTGTCATCTCAGGGTAAACAGAGCACACACATGGTAGGATCAGGTGATCTTGCTACTCATAAACTTGTTTTTCAATACAGGGATTTGAACACCAGTTGGACCAGCTTTAGGAAGGTCCTCATTAAAGTCAGCATTAGGGAGACTCCCTATTTTAGATTGATCTGAGCAGATTCAGGAAATCAGAGAGGAGATTTTTAAAATTTTTCTTCTTCCTTCTTCCAGTCTCCCCCTTTTCCAGTGATTGTGACAAAGCAGATGTTTTAGTTGAGAAATAGCATGATTGTAACTGCCTTGGAAAAGCTGTCCACATTTGAGCTTAGGTTTGGTGTGGCAAGTTCACCAGCCCCACAAGTGACCTTCATGCCACCACTGAGTGTGTGTCCCTGAGCATTCAGAATACTTCTCTCCTAGGGACCCTCCCCCTTGTGGTTCATGCAAAATGCCAGACCAGGGGACTGTGCTAGGGGCAGGACTGTCAGAGTCAGAGCCTTGCCTGCTTCACTGATGACAGTATAGGTTTTCATACCAGGTGCCTGAGAGGGCTCTGAGGTCTTGGGCAGCTCTTGGGGCTTCAGTCTCCTTGTCTGCGCTGTGGGGAGATAGGTCAGCACCTATGCTGCTCTTAACATCAGAAGTTCTGATTCTGAAATTCTGATCATGGGCAGTTACTGCATTTTTTACTTTTATCCCCATCTAATACATTCATAGGTGAGAAATTTTCAAGCTCTTATTTTTCTTTCCCGTTTGATATAAACACATATGTTTAATGGGCTTGAATTAGTGTGAATAAAAATTACTTCTTTTTAAAAAGTTTATTTCTTTCTCTCATGAGAGAGAGACACACACAGGGACCTACAACTGGATCCCATGCCACAGTCTGTCCCCAGCCTCAGCCACTCTGAGTCACAGGCACATGTGCATGTGCCCAGTGTGTACAAGGAGATCTTGGAACCCGAACCCAGGAGCTTTTCATGGAGATCTAGTTGTGTTTCCACTGTGCCACCATCTAGCCCCTACAATGGCCTGTTAAAACAAACACCTCAAAAATAGTTCCAGTGCTGACTGAACTCTGGTTCTGGAGCCTCATATTGCCAGATAAACTGAGGGACTTTTCTTAAATTGCTAGGGAGGAAAATGAGTTTTCTCTTTAGTAATCCTTATCATGACTAACAGCTGGGTTAGTAATAGATGAGAACAATTTTTCAGAAGAAGAGTATTTAAACTTAGAAGCCTGTATTCCTTAGAGTGACTTTTTTTTTTTTCCTTAGAGAGATATTTTGCTATAGGGCGTGTGCACTTGCTGGAGAGACAGTGACGGACAGAGAGACAGTAAGCAAGAAATAGTCCCTGAGGGGGATGACAATGCTACACTCTTCTCTATTCTCCTCTTGGGATTTTGGGCACACACGTCCATGGGCCCAGTGTGAGTTTTAAGCCACTGCGTCCGAGACTCAAACCATGGTTGACTACATGGGAGTCCAGCAATGTAACCGTGGTGCCATCTCCTGGTCCCAGCTTTTTTTGTTGTTCATTGTCAGAGAGATTGTGTGCTTGCCAGAGAAAAGAGAGACAGAAGCAGGGAGAAGGAGAAAACAACCCCTAATGGGTGATGGTCACACCACAATCCCTTCTCCATTTCTCTTTCAGGATTTAGGACATGCACATGTAGGCAGCCAGCATATTTGTCAAGCCCCTGGCACTAAGATTTGACCTGTGCAGTCCGCCATGTGGGATCCATTTCTCTTAGCCACTAGGTTACCAGGCAGGCTCTCAAGTCGTTTTTCTTTTCTTTGGAGAGAGATTTTTTGCTATAGGGCACGTGTGCTCGCCAGAAAGACACAGAGAGACAGAAAGGAAATCACTCCCCAGGGGGGATGACCACACTGCAATCCCTTCCCCTCCATACTCCTCTTGGAATCTTGGGCACGCACGCACACGCACCCGGCGTGAGTTTAAGCCACAGGGACTGGAACCGTAGTTGACTACATGGAAGTCCAGCAACATAGCCATTACACCAACAGCTGGTCCCTCTCAGGTTGCTTTTAACATTTTAATTTTAAGTGGATCTTACTGGGGAAGGCCCTGTATATTATTAGATTGCCTTACTGTAGGTGTTGCCTGCAAGTGTAAAGAAAGGTCAGCATGGGGACCAGCAGGTGGTGTGGTGGTTAAGGCGCTGGATGCTCCCGCATGGTCGATCACGGTTCAAGTCTCAGACCTGATGGCTTGCTTTCTTACTTTCCTTCTATCTATCTCTCTCTCTCTCTGATCAAATTAAAATAAATGAATGTATAAATAAAATTAAATAATTCTTTAAAGAAAAAGGAAAAGAAAGGTTGGCATGATTTTCCACTTTTTATTTTCAGCATTTTTTTATTTTTTGAGGTTTTTGCTGTAAGGTACGTGCTCTCGCTGGAGAGAGACAGAGATAGGGAAAGTGAGAAATCATCTCCCTGGGGGGATGGCCGTGCCACAGTCCCTTCCCCTTCATCCTCCTGGGATTTGGGGCACGTATGCAATGCACCCAGCATGATTTTCAAGCTGTCAATCAGGGACTTAAACCATGGATGACCATGTGGGAGACCAGCACCTTAACCATT